AGAAGGGCAAGGAAGGGAGAGGGAAGGGAAGAGAAGGAGTGAAGAAAGGAAAAAAGGAAAAGGGAAGACTAGAATGTATCCTATGGTTTGGGGCTAAAATGGGAGATATTAGGGGCACCTGGATGGCTCAGTCAGTTAAGCATCCAACTCTTAGTTTTGGCTCAGGTCATGATCTCAAGGTTCATGAGTTCAAGCCCCACATCTGGCTCTATGCTGAAGGTGAAAAGTCTGCTTCAGATTCTCTCTCTCTCCCTCTCTCTCTCCCCCTCCCCTGCTGATACACTCCCACTCTCTAAATAAATAAATAAACAAGCTTTAAAAAGTAATAAAATGGGAAATGTTAGTATGAATACCTACTCTTAATATATGTATATACAGATACAGAAATATAGATTTGTGTATATTATATATAAACCTTGCATATATTGTGTACGTACATACATGTATCTAGTGCATACATACACGTATCTGAGAAGGCCCAGATGTTTCAACAATGCCACTCAAGTAACAATGAGCATCTAGCTCCCAGATACTGCTTTGTAAATACCATTCTCTAATAAAAAGGAAGCAGGGCTCCTTGGAGAAATGGCTGACTCCAGTATTATGGCAAGGAAAGTATAAAATCAACCTGAAACATCCTGTAGCACTAAAGAGTAAGGAAGTCCTCAAAAAAAAAAAAAAAAAAAAAAAAAAAAAAAAAAAAAAAAAAAGGTGGGACAGATCAAAATGACACAGGAGCCAGCTTCAATAAGTTCCCAGTGGTCAAATATGGGGCAATTTGACCAATAATATAAAAAATGAAAATAACTGATTATAGCTTATAAAATAAAATGAGAATCCATGAGGGGTGCTGGGATGGTTCAATAGGCTGAGCATCTAACTCTTGATTTTCACTCAGGTCATGATCTCATAGTTCATGAGTTCAAGTCCTATGTTGGGCTCTGCACTGACAAGGCAGAACTTACTTGGGATTCTCTCTCTCCCTCTCTCTCTGTCCCACCCCACTCATGCTTCTCTCTCTCTCTCTCTCTCTCTCTCTCTCTCTCTGTCTCTCTCTCTCTCAGAATACATAACAAACTTTTTTTAAAATGTGGGAGTGGCTTTAGAACCAGGTGATGGACAGGGGTTAGAAAAATTTGGAGATGTGTGATAAAGAAAGCCTAAATTGTCTTGAATAGACTGTGAGTGGAAATGTGGAGTTTGGTGACAGTTCCAGTGAGGGCACAAGAGGAAGTGAGTAACACAGACTGGAAACTGGAGGAAAGAGAATGTAATGTAAAGGCAGACAGCTAAGTCACACATCCACAGTTACATGGGAAGCACAGTCTACCTACTGAACTGGGTGATCTGCTGCAGGAAATTTCCAAGCAGGTGTTGAAGGTGCCTCTTGGTTTCCTCTTGCCACAAGAGGAGAGGTACACATTGAGTAAAGGGTGGTTAAACAAAAGAAACCAAGACTTGAGAGCTATGAGATGCCTGGCCTCTCCAGAGGGTAAAGATGTTAACACTAGGAAATGGCTTCTAAGCAAAGACCAGGGCTTAGAGATCTGTGGGCTTTTGTCTAATGGGGTGAACCCCAATGGGAGCCACAGAAGGCTGTATGGTCTTGTGAGAGAACACAGTAGCAGACTACTAGCTTAGACTGAAAGGATACAAAATGAAATGGAGCCATTGGACGTCCAAACTTGTGCTGACAGGAAGCATATGAGAAAACTCCCTGGCTGCAGAGATATGCAGCCTTTCATGAAAAACAACCTCAGAGGACAGAGCCAAGAAACATGGAGAATTAATTATTCCTGAGGTTGAGGTAATAGAGGGAATAAGCCTAAGGTGAGGAGGAGGGGGGATGGTCAAAGAGTGGGATCCTTGAAACTGAACTTATAGACAGAGCATGCTTACCAGTAATGACAAGGTCTACAGTAGGTCCACGAGAATGGGTGAACCAGGTCAGGTGAAAAAACAAGAATAGTGAAAGAAAAGCCTTTAAGAAATTGATGATCATCCATATAGAAGTGGAAATCACCAAGAATGGTGACAGGGTAACAGTAAAGAGACAAGGTAAACTAGGTATTAGCAGTTACAAAAGTCTAAACACCTTGGATGACCCTTACTTATTCTTCCACTTCAATTTCTCACCATCCCCCAGCTTTACAACCCAACCACACTTAACTTTTCTTGTCCGCAATGTCCAGATGTGACTGTGGGACTTTGCAAATGCTCTTCATTCTACCTGGTTCATTCTCTGCCCCCTTGTAACCCAGGCAGATAACTTCTAGTACCTGTATATGTTTTCACAAGTCCCTATGTTTATTACATCACAGCACTTTCAAATTATTATGTTCTCTGTCTTTACTGTTAGCTCCAGAAGGGTGAGGGCTGTGTCTGAGTTGTTCAACATGGTTCCTCACACTGAACTCAGTGGCTGGTGCACACAGTAGGATTTTTCTCCCAGGTCAAAGGTAAAGCGTCTAAAGAAGTAGCCTATTTCTATGGTATCTCTCCTTTGGATTCTTTGACAAACATTAATATCTGAGCTCAAACAATGCTTTCCCTTAAGGGACATATTTATAGGGCTTTAAATCCCTTATAAATGTTAGGTTTTGGTTCCTTTTAAAAACCATTCTTATTTACACATGGAAGCATTTGAAAGATTTCTCTCATGAACTCTAATGTCTGCAGAAGGGCATTTTGATTAAAAACTCTTCTTACAGTAACCACCTTTATGGGTTTTCTCTTCCATGGAAGTCTTATTCATTAAACTGACCATCTCTTCCTCATGATTTGAGGAGTCTTATTTAAATTATTTAGAGATACAGTGCCCAGAGATGCAGACAACACAGAATTTAAGGCAGAAACAGCATTGACAATTGGTAAAGTGGATATATTAACCCAATCATACAAAGGAGAAAACAATTAATATGGCAAAAAGGAGTAAGAAAAAAACCCACAATGTTCCTCCAACTGCATGCAATTATGATAAGTTTTCCTGTACTGATATTTTTAGAAAATTGAGTTCAAAACAAAAGCAGGTCAAAAGAATCTGCTAAATTCATCATGTGAGTAAGTTGAAAAATCTAGTTAATTTATCATAATTTTCTCATTTTCTGAGTCTGACCCAGAAAAACCATCATGTAATGAATAGACCAATGGTTACCTGGCTGACTGAAGTGAAGTGAAAATTCTCAACTGTAACTAAGTTACTATGCAATTTTGTAATGTTCCAATATATTCATGTATATTTTTTTCTAAAAACGCAGACCTCAAGACTTAACTATAGTCTATACATAATAGTAAGATTTTGATAATAACAAAATGTAAATACTTGCACATGGTCACAGAGCTCTTAAACCAAGCATGCTGCCCTAGCTTGCTGACAATATCTGAAATTCTCTTGAATGGGCACCCAGTGAGTTTTTGATCACCATCCAAAATATTTAGGTCATCGTAGGAATGTGCTACATTGCAAAGTAATTCTTTTCTGTGAGCTAAAACCTATTTTGCTCAATAAAACAGGAAATTTTCTGTTCCAAACTTCAAATATATCTTTATCTACCACAATGCTTCCTTTCTTTCCTCAGTACTCAAGGTTGAGGTGAGCTTCCTTCATTTTAAGACCAACCTTTCACCTGTGCTTTTTTCCTGGAACTTGTTTATTTAAATATTCACACTCTGTTATAGATCTTCAATAGTCCCCCTTCTACTATATCTTCAAACTTTCCCTCCCTGCTGGGTCATTATCTAGAAGCAAGCTCACTCTCTCCTGTCCTTTAAACGCCCACCCTTGGCTGTGCATTACCCATTATTCCTCTATCCTTCCCACTTTACAACCTCCACTACTTTGGGGGACTCTAGAGGTTTATAGCTCAGTCATTTCTATTTTGCACATTTTTCTAGGTTTCCTGGCTGCCCAGAATTTTGTGCCGCTGAAACACTGGCAGCTAGGGCACCTTTTCACCAATCAGATAGTCCCCTTCAGGATCCTCGCCTTAATGTGAATTGCACAAAGAAGCAAAGGCTAGCAGGGCCTTCTACAGTCATCTAGAATTAGAATTCAGCTGCACAAGTTATCCCCACCTAAGGCTTCCACAACAATCTTGTGTTCCCATGGCTTCATGTGCCTCCCAAACAGACAAGAGTAACCACTAAAACTGAAGCCCTATACCTATCTGCCCCAACCACCAGCCTGTGATGCCTCAAAGGCAGAAATCATTACTATCTTTTTTTCTAAGCATCTTTAAGTTTCTTTCTTTACAAATTATTTTTATTGGGGTAAAATATACATAAAATTTGTCATTTTGAGTATACAGTTCAGTGACAGCAGTACATTTACACTGTTGGGTAATATAAATCCAATTCCAGAACTTTTCTCATCTTCCTCAACTGAAACTCTATACTTATTCAAAGAGGACCTCCCATTGCCCCTACCCCTAGTCCCTGGTAACTACTATTCTATTTGACTCATGTTTATATGGACAGTTTCTAGCATGTCGCCCCTCAGTGGTATGATCCCAATAACTGCAGAACTGAAGGAAATGAGTCTCTTTCTCCTTGAGCATCCCACAAAAGGACAAATTAGAAAAAAAAAATTTAAATAGCTAAAATTTACAGAGGAATGATATGTATTATCACTGGAATTATTAGAACACTTGAATGATGTGTTAGCTAGAATTCTAAGTGTATGGCTATCTCAAACCACCATCTTGGCTCTCTAGCTAGCACAAATAAATATTGAGCACTTCTATTTTTAAGTGAATTAAAATGATCAAATATGAAGGAAAAAATCTACCTGAAAAAGAAACGTGTAACAAGTTTTTCCCCTCCACTCAAATATCTAAGACCCCTGAATTGAGTTCATACTTCTTTCAGAATATATTCCCGTAGATACAAAAGGAAATGTAGGGATAGGAGAGTTTTCATAATCCACTTCTGTGTATGGAAGCTCTTGCATTTAAAAGAAATTATGTCCTAGAAATTTCCAAATTAATTTATTTGGTACTTACAGAACATATAAAAGATGGACCTTAAGGTCATAAGCCTTGAATGAATTCTTAAATAGTGACTCCATATAGCAGATGAATAATTCCAAGTCCTCTTTCGTCCAGCACTGTATGTTCCAGTTTGCACCTGAATTAAAAATAAACTACATTAAATCTGAAAAACATTCTGAACAACTCAGTGAAAGAGAAGAACTAAATTAAATTTACCAGTGTTCTGATACAACTTCCACTGCCTATTCTGAGAGAAAAAGAACTGGCTCTAACCAGTGGTATGTATCTGCCCAAGTGATCTAGTCCCTTAGGCCTTCAGTTTCCTTTCTGGTAAAGTAAGAGACTTAAATTCAATTACTGCTTCTCAAACTCTTCTTATTTTTTTAATCTTGAACTACTTAAGTAGGACAAAAGACCTCAAAAGTCACCTAGTTCCGTTCATGCTTGCTTTCTAAGAGAAAAGAAAATATTCAATATCAAGATATGAGCACATGTGGAGCAGTATTTATGTGTCTGCTTTAGCAATAAAAGCAAAGTGATTCACATGTGAACAGTGATTCATGTCTTAAATTCTTGTTATTGTAAATTACAGGCCCCAGATATAACTGATGCAGGCATACTTTCACTGTGCACTGAAAAACTCACCTGGCAATAAATTATTGGCGGGTTGTAATTTAAAAAGCAAGAATAGCAACAATCATAAATAATGGCTCACTTAAGACAACACTAACGTATTCCCCAAACTTGAAGGATTTCTAGCTGGTAGGGATTTTACAACAGTGTTGAACCATTATGAAGTAAACAGCATGCGTGGCAGAATAATCAGCTGAAATCCTCGGTAACCACCACTTAACCTACTGATTTCAGTTACAAAAATTTAAAGTGAGAAGTGACTAGTTATGCAAGCTTTATTTATGTGTAAAACTGAAATCTACGGCATCATAGGGACACCTGGGTGGCTCAATCTGTTTGGCTCAGGTCACAATCTCACGGCTTGTGGGCTAGAGGCCCTTGTTGACAGCGAGAAGCCTACTTGGGATTCTCTCTCCCTCCCTCTCTCTCTCTACCCCTCCCTCCCCTGCTTCAACACACACCTGCACATGCTCCCTCTCTCTCTCTCTCAAAAATAAATAAAACTTAAAAAAAATCTATAACATCATAATCATTTCTCTTCAAAAGTGAAGAAAGTACTAACATTTTTTGATCATTTCAAAGCTCAACACAAAGACCCTGCCTTAATAAGTTCATTCTTGGTATATCCATTGAATTACTGGAATGGCTAGTTAATTTCCCCTACAAATTAAAAAAAAAAATGCTTCAATTAAAATTAAGTGAATGTTATGTGGCGCCTGGCTGGTTCAGCCAATTAAGCATCTGACGTTGGCTCAGGTCATGATCTCACGGCTTGTGGGTTTGAGCCCTGCATTGGGCTCTATGCTGACAGCTCAGGTCTGGAGCCTGCTTCGGATTCTGTGTCTCCCCTTCTCTTCCCCTCCCCCACTCGCATTCTGTCTCTCTCTCCCTCAAAAATAAATGAACATTAAAAAAATGATATAGGGGCGCCTGGGTGGCGCAGTCGGTTGAGCGTCCGACTTCAGCCAGGTCACGATCTCGCGGTCCGTGAGTTCGAGCCCCGCGTCGGGCTCTGGGCTGATGGCTCAGAGCCTGGAGCGTGTTTCCGATTCTGTGTCTCCCTCTCTCTCTGTCCCTCCCCCATTCATGCTCTGTCTCTCTCTGTCCCAAAAATAAATAAACGTTGAAAAAAAAAATTTTTTTTTAAAAAATGATATTAATAAAAAATTAAGTGAATTTTATTAATCAATGGTTATGGACTCCATTGGAGACACTGGGAATTATTACTACTAACTTGTTTTAAAACTCTGATTTTATTGCATATTTATACTTTGTTCTTAAGCTGATTTCAATAAACCAGAGTGTTTCTTCCATCTAATCAGTGATGCTCAACCAGTGGCAATTTGGCCCTCAGGGACATCTGGCAATGTTTGGAGACATGTTTTGATTGTCACAACTGGGGAAGGAGCTACTTGTATCTAGGTAGAAGCCAGGGATGTTGCTAAACATCCTACAATGCACAGAACAGCCCCCCCATACCCAAGAATTGTCAGGCCCAAAATGTTAATAAGGTTGAGGTTGAGAAATTCTGATTAACCTTTAACAGAAGTGCTATATTTATGCTTGCCTTTACTTTCATACTGTAGGTCTCTTTGTATTACTGAGTCAATGGATGCTGTTCTGTTAGCTTTTCCAGAAGGCTTGGAAATAATTTTGCTGTTTAGATTTCCAGATGTAGAATTATTAATTATGCTAACTACATTCAGTGTACATTATACTTCAACAACAAAACCCCCTTGATTTAAAACATGGATTGGCTGGGGCACCTGGGTGGCTCAGTCGGTTAAGCCGCCGACTTCAGCTCAGGTCATGATCTCGCGGTCCGTGAGTTCGAGCCCTGCGTCGGGCTCTGTGCTGACAGCTCAGAGCCTAGAGCCTGTTTCAGATTCTGTGTCTCCCTCTCTCTGACCCTCCCCCACTCATGCTCTGTCTCTCTCTGTCTCAAGAAATAAATAAATGTTAAAAAAATTTTTAAAAATAAAAAAAAAACATGGATTGGCTGCAGAGAGATTCTTTGCTTGAACAAATATTATTCATAAATGCTTTAAAATTTAACTACTTCTGATGTGCCTGGCTAGCTAAGTCTGTAGCGCATGCAACACTTGATCTCGGGGTTGTGAGTTCAAGCCCCATGGTGGGTGTAGAGATTACTTTAAAAACTTTTTTTAATCTTAAAAAATTTTTTAACTAATTCAACAGTTGAATGTTTTGAATATTTAATATATTTAACAACATAAGGGGTGATTTTTCTATTTTAAAGCAAATTTAGTGGTGCCTGGGCGGCTTGGTCAGTTGAGAATCCAACTCTTGGTTTTGGCTTAGGTCATGATCCCAGGGTCATGGGATTGCACCCACATTGGACCCTGGGCTCAGTATGGAGCCTGCTTAAGATTCTCTCTCCCTCTTTCTCTCTCTACCCCTTTCCTCTACACATGCTCTCTCTCTAAAATAAAAAATAATAATAATAAAATAAGGCAAACTTAGAAGATTACAAAAAACTGACTTACAGGGTCTAGGTAAGAGTTCCCTCATTACATTTTTCTTTTATTTTTATAACATATCAAATAATTTGGGGCTCATTAATTTGGTCACATAACGAATCATAATTTTATTACTAATATAAAATGATGATATGTGTTAAGAATCCCATCCATAAGACATCTATTTTACACAAGTTTCAGAAAACGAAAACATTTTGTTTAAAACAGTTAAAATAACATCTAATGCTCACAACATTAAAATACTTACCTATTTGTTGGAAAACTAAAGAATTCACTGTTGCAACAAATGCCTTCCCTTCCACGTCATCTGCATGTACAGAACAGTTTTTATCTTCCTCGCTCCAAAGGCAACAGTGAAAAGTTGTTTTGGAAGATAAATTAGAAAAGTAGGTACTACTTGAATTAAATTTAGCTTCAACAACTGCCTCATAATGTTCATTCACATTTGAAGTGTTCTTTGACATTCCAGTAGGCAAGAGAAAGTCATAGGTTGTATTTGGTGGCATGCACGACAGCTTAAATCTCCAGGGAGTAATTGGGTATGCCAAGTTAAATGAAGTTATCAAATAAATAAATTCTGTCAGGGTATTAAAAAAGACACATAGAAAAATAATTAATCACTTTGACTAAGACATAAATAGGAAGTATCTAAGATTAAACCATGTAGTGCCCAGTAGTATTTAACTGTCTTAGTGCCCAATCCATGCCTAATGCACAGCTCTGGGTTTCCATTACACAATGTATTATACATTAGTTCATAGAGATAACTTCACTCTTAGCACCTCTTTTTGGAAATTCATGCTTCATTTTCCTCATGAATCTAGCATTCTATATTTATATTTTAATGAAAAAACTATAGTTTAATATTTCAATTACCTTTTCTAAAAAAATATTCTAATGAACTTCCAGTATAAGAGAGAAATAGCTGAATATGCAATTATATAAGCAAGTATTAAAGTTCTGTTTTAATATTTTTTATTTTTTTTAATGTGTATTCATCCATTTTTGAGAGAGACAGAGAGCATGAATGGGGGAGGGACAGAGAGAGGGAGACACAGAATCTGAAGCAAGCTCCAGGCTCTGAGCTGTCAGCACAGAGCCCGACGCGGGGCTTGAACTCGCGAATCACAAGATCATGACCTGAGCTGAAATCAGACGTTTAATGGACTGGACCACCTAGGCACCCCTATTTTAATATTTCTTAAAGAGAATAATACCAAAATGTTAGCACTATGAGTGCTTTTCAAAGAGTTTGCTTTCAACATCAGGACAGCTGGATGATCTCTTCTGCCCATGATCCTCAAATATATGACATCATTGAAGGCATGTCCTTAATGTACTCTCCAAGAATCAATGTACAAAGACAAGAAAATTCCATTGCTGATTAAAGACAATTCTCACCTTTTTAGACATAAAAAAAATTAAGAATAATCATATAATCCCATACTCAAAAACTCTCAAAAGTGGTACTTATTTTTTAGGAATTGTCTGAAAATATAATAATAAATTCTCAATAATTCTTTCTTTTACAAGCTACTCAAATAATCCAACAGCTGTGTTGCCTCATATACAAACTAATGCAGAATGAGAATTCTGAGAATTTAGCATAGATTTGCATGGAATGAGAATTTTGAAGAATTAGGGTAAATGTAAAAATATAAGAAAATAGCAATTTTTAAAAAACGAATTCACAAAAATGATGTTTCAAACTATAAAAGTAAAACATGTAAAAATATTTAAGCAATATGTAGGTAACAACTGTTAAAGTTTGGTTTCTAAACTTTTACATTAAAATAAATTAACATAAAAATGTATCAGATGCAGGGGCACCTGGGTGGCTCCTCAGTTAAGCATCCAACTCTTGATTTCAGCTCAGGTCACAATCTCATGAGATCCAGCCCCACTGGTCAAGATTCTCATTCTCTCTCTCTCTCTCTCTCTCTTCCTCTGCTCCTCCTCCACACTCGTACACTCATTCTCTCTCTCTCTCTCTCTCTCTCTCAAAATAAAAAAATTTTAAATGTATCAGATGCAAAAAAAATAAGATAAAATAAGAATATATCAGATGCCTAAATTAAGCCAAATATGACTAACATGACTAATATTATTTTGCCCACACTGACAACAATTAGGTATCATACATTATCAAAAGTGACCCCTCATTTCAATTGTGTTCCTTTGGACTTCAATCTTTCTAATATATGTTTCTGAAATCAGAACATGTCAATAAAAAATAAAATAGATTATTTCTTTGGTTTTACAAAACCATCAATATTTGTTGGTATTAATTAAAAGCATTATTTTCTAGCTGCATATGGAAGATTCAGTTGGCTGAACTGAAATGAGCCTAAAATCCTCAAAGAAGTCTTTGAAATTTAAAATGTAATAATGAATGTCATAGACATAATGACTATTGAATCAGTTTAATTAAAAGATGATTCTATTTTTGCATGTTTGTTTTGCAAATAATATTTCTTTCCCTCCAGATGAACCCTAAACAACAGAAACCAGAATTTATTTCTGGAGGCATATGTTATCATGGTAACAACATCCCAAGAACTCTTCTGATTCATAAGACTTCATCAAACAACAAATCTTTTGGAAAGCCAATGTGAAACACGTTGAATGGAGTCTAATAAAAGCTACAGAATATAAGAGAGAATGAGTATGTTGCTACTTTTAGATAGTCCCTTGTGGCATAGTTGTTTTGTTTTTTGTTTTGTTTTGTTTTGAAATCTGTCAACAGTGGGGTTATCCTGGGTATTTGCTGTAAATATACAGATGGCAACAATGAGAAAGAACAGTATGCACAACAAGGAAAACTAGTAGAGAAGCTCATAAGAGCGCCTTCAGTTTGGATTAGCCAAGGAGAGGCTCAGAACTCACTGACACATAGCTGGACAGCTTGAGGAGCTCCCAATATGGTTGCCAGATAAAATGTGTTTTTTTTTTTAAATAGCCTGACTTTAATTTTAAAAATGGAACATAACCTAAATTAGATGATTTGAGGTTTTTTTAAGTCAGAATATCTCTAGAGTGCGGTCAGAAACAAGTGAGAATAGTATGCTCAAAATTGGCAATATGAGTGACTAATTTCAAACAGAAGCATGCTATTAGTTAAAATCAAGACATTTAAAAAAATCTATAAGCTTTCTCTTGAGGATATTCCTGCAATGGATAGGAGGGAGACTAGTATACATTTAAACTCTGAAAGCATTCTTCTGGTGGTATTCAGGATGGAAATTTTAAAGATATACACCATCCCTTGGTAATATCCCTTTATAACATTATACTTGTCATTGTCTACTGGAGTTCTAATGTGAAATAACATTTAAAATGGCATGTCCCTTCCATTTGAGAATAAATCCATTATTTTGTCATAGTCATATATTTTAAATATTATCACCAAGTTAAACAGCTCCTTGATAGAGAACTAAAGTTTTGACTATAATCTGATATATATACATTCATAATTTAATAATACTACATTTACTAAATTAAAATTAAAACATTTAAGTGTCACTGTATCTTGTTTCTACACATGCATAAGGGTGTTAGTATGCATACATAAATTTCTGTACCATAAAAAAAAAAACAAAGTTAAAAAGCAAACAATGGGCAGGAAGAAAAATTTGCATAATATTAAATAATTACAGGCTTGTGATGATTAAGGTTATGTGTCAACTTGTCTAGGTTCATGGGGTGCTCAGTCATTTGGTCAAACATTATTCTGGGTGTATCTGTGAGGATGTCTGGATGAACTTAACAACTGAATCAGTAAAATGAGTAAAGCAGATTGCCCTCCGTAAGGTAGACAGGCCTCATGATCGATTGGAGACCTGAATAGAGCAAAAAGGCTGAGTTAAAGGGAACTCCTACTGCCTGACTGACATCAGTCTTTTCCTTCCTTTGGACCCAAACTGAAACATCAGCTCTTCTTGCATCTGAAACCTTCCAGTGTCCAGACTGGAACTTGTATCATCAGGTCTCCTGGGTTTCCAGCCTGGCAACTACAGGTCACGGGACTTCTCAACCTCCACAATCTTGTGAGTCAATCCTTATAATAAATCTCTTTCTCTCTATATATAAATCCTACCAGTTCTGTTTCTCTGGAAAACCCTAATACAGTACTAAATATCAATTACATTTTAGAAAATCCTAAAAATCACTAAGACAGAATCCAACCACAAAATGGCCAAAGTGTATGATTTAGAAAATCACATAAGAAATATAAATGGTCCATAAACAGTGCTCAACCTTGCAAACAGCCAAATAAATAAAACTGAAATGGGATGCTATGTTTTGCTTATATGAGAGCAAAAAGACAAAAGAATGATAGTATACATCTTTGACAGAAATGCAATGGGCTGGCGTTCATATATCTGTGGTGGTACCACAAATGCTACAAAGCTTTGTGGAGATTTCACAGTATTCATCAAATTTTAAAATGTGCATACTATGTAATAGAGAATTCCTCCTTAACAACTAATCAGCAGGAATATTCTTCCAAATATACAAAGATATAGATACAGATATATGGATTTCAATGCAGCATTATTTGCTACAGTAAGAGAAATGTCTATCAATGGGGAATTGGTGAAATAAATTAATAATTTAAAGTATATTTATACAGGGGCGCCTGGGTGGCGCAGTCGGTTAAGCGTCCGACTTCAGCCAGGTCACGATCTCACGGTCCGTGAGTTCGAGCCCCGCGTCGGGCTCTGGGCTGATGGCTCAGAGCCTGGAGCCTGCTTCCGAGTCTGTGTCTCCCTCTCTCTCTGACCCTCCCCTGTTCATGCTCTGTCTCTCTCTGTCCCAAAAATAAATAAACGTTGAAAAAAAAAAAAAATTTGTAAAAAAAAAAAAAAAGTATATTTATACAGATCATTGTTGTGCAACCATTAAATGAATAAGCATATCAGTAAATACTCAGTAAAAAAAATGTTATCATAATAAATTGAAAAACTATTAAGTAGAAAAAAACAAAAAACAATATGTATAGACCAATTCTATTTTTGTAACCATAGATATGGATTGTGTGTGTTTGTATGTGTTATGGTTCTGGAAAGCTACACATCAGGTTATTCCCAGGAGATTGGGAAGTGTTTTTATTTTCACACTTATGCTTTTGTTTGGTTTGTATTTTTAATCATAAGCATGAGAATTCCGAACTGTGGACAGGAAATTCTGCTAGCCAAAAAGAAACAACATCTCCAACAGCAAAATCTCTTATATACGGACATTTAAAAAGCAGATAACTTACCCCAATGTAACAAAGCCACACAGAATTTTTGACAAATCATCTTACTTCAGAGAGTAGACCTGAAAAACAGCACATCGAAAACAAATACATACATACACACATGCACAAAAACACCTGACATCTATATAAGCTGTCTGGGAAAATATAAAAGGAAAAGGATTATGAACGAGTCTAAATTTAATCCTCTATAATACTCTGCATCAATATCAGAGAAGTGTCTCGCATTAAAGTATAGCTACACATTAAAGGTTTACTCCTGTGTACCTATCTTACACAATTAAAATATAAGCTACATATTCACATACAGCATAATCAAACATTTTTCAATGTTCCTTTATGCCATGACAAACGAGGACAGGCATCAAAGGATAAGACTATATTTTTAACTGAACAAAAGTGTTCATAATGTTAATTAAATATGTACTACCATTAATAGCACAGTCTTTTTTTTTTATAGCTCAGTTCTTAAATTTCTCTTATTTTCTAAAGCCTTTATCTTTACTATGATACTACAAAGTCAAACAGTTATAGCATAGGTAATCACTGTACATTTGTTTCCAAAAAAAGAGGAGGAAATTTTCCAGTATGTTTTTGGAAACTCCCACCATTTATTTGCAGATAAAGCAATATTCACATTGGAGAGTTATTAGAGTAATTCAAGGAAAGGCTGACAGCTTAATATATCCAAATGATAGGGTGACTTCAAGAGATAAGCTTTCCCATGAAGTCTCCTCATTTTTAAATACATCATGAATGAGATTATTCTTACCAGTATATCATGAATGGTAGCATAATTTTAATATATTGGGATTCAATTTGTAATGAAACCATAAAGGCTTTTGTTGTTCCAGGGTTTTTTGTTATCTCAAACTGGGGATTCAGTTCACTACACAAAAGTTAATCTGAGTTAAAAAGTTCTGAATTAGGTGTCAGGAGTCTTGAATGTCATTCTAGAGTCTTTGACCAGCTGTAGGACTTGGCACTTCAACACTCTAGACCTCAGGTTCCTCATCTACAAATCCTCCTGATGGATGAGCTCAACAATCCCTTTCAGAGATGTTCATGATTCTGAGAGATTTTATTTTAAAATAGAAATCACAGCTTTACACAAAGATATTTTCAAATATCAAGTAAGAAAGATGTCTCATAAGTCATTACTGACAATTGGTACCATGTGATGAGTAAACAGAAAAACGTACTTGTTTAGTTCACAACTTAATAACTCTCAGGAGGAAAATGGATGAGTATAAACATTTTGTAGTCTGGTCAATTTGTTTTTCAGCCTCTTGCTTTTTCATCAGAAGTTTGGTTCTTTATATACTGACATCACAGTGTGTCTTCAGGATTTCTAAAAATCAGTTTAGTGTTTGGAATCCTCATTATCTAATCATATGATTTTTTTTTTTTTGCTACCTGTTTCTGGTACAACATTTTCTCATAAAATAAACCCAAGAGCAAGTTTCATAATCAGGATGTGTCATAGATACAACATATCATTTAACTAAGTGTTTTGAATGAACTGACTGGTGACAAGTAATTCAGTCCAACAACAGATTTGACTCACTTTTAACTCAACTGATCTGCTGAGTCAAGTGACCAAACAGACCAGGGTTTTTTTGCTTATATAAGACAAGCATTATTTTCTTTAATGTTCCATGCAAAACACAAACTATTCTGATGGTTTGAATTCTGGTAGTCAGGTTTCACTCTTACATAACAGAGAAATAATCACAGATATGAAAAAGGCATAGATGAAACCTTGAAGAGAGTGTGAAAGGTGGTACCTTACACAGACCCAATGAGACAAATATTTAAATGACCGACACTGTACCAGAAATGAATAATAAGGAGATTTGCAAAAATACAAATAATACAGAAAAAAGGAACAGAAGTTTCTAAACTGTGAGAAAAAAAAATCAAGTAAAGGGAAAACTAATGGTAAGGTGGCCAAAATAAGTATAATACACAAAATGCCATTAATTTGAATTCGGTTTTTAAAGATGAGCTATTGGGGCACTTGGGTGGCTCAGCTGGTTAAGTTTTGGACTTCAGCTCAGGTCATGATCTCACTGCTCATGGGTTCAAGCCCCACATCAGGCCCTGTGCTGACAGCTCACAGCCTGGAGCCTGCTTGATTCTCTCTCTCTCTCTCTCTCTCTCTCTCTCTCTCTCTCTCTCTCTTTCTCTGCCCCTTCCCTGCTTGTGCTCTCTCAAAAATTAAAAAAAAGTTAAAAAAAAATTTAAAGATAAGCTACTGATTTCCCTTATGCTTTCTTATGGTCAAATTGGTCAATTACAAATTCAGAGTACTCAAAATAAAACGTAACCAACAGCTTAGGGGAAATGTTCAAATAATCCTAACAGTAAGAACAGAAAGAAATTTTGCCTGAGTAACTTCAAAACAGGTAACATCCTCATGAACACTCTCACAATACCAGAGTTTCATGTGAACCTCAAAATCCAATAATTTCTCAGCCCCTCCATTGCCAATACCCTATTCTAAGTCACCATTATCTCTTCCCTGGACAGTCGGAAGGGCCTCCTAACTGGTCTCCCTGCTGTTGCCCTTACTCTCCAGTTCAGTCTATTCTCAATGCTGCAGCCAGAGTGGTCTTGTTAACACATAGGTCAGATCATGCCTGTCTTACCCCAAACACGGTCGTACTCTCCTTTTCACTCTGCGTAAAAGTCCGAGCCCTGCATAGAACTACAAGGTCCTGGATCTCTACTGCCTCTCTGACCTCATCAACCACTGCTCTTCTCTTTGTTCAAGTCACCTTCTCAGAGGAGCCTTTCCTGACTAGCCCATCTACAATTTCAACCCAGCATGTCATATCTGCTGAATTTTCTTCTTATTATTACTTCACACTGTCTAATGTGAATATGACTTGTTTTTCTTGTTTATTGTTTAACTCTCCCCACTGGAATATAAACTCCACTAGACCAAGGGATTTTTTTTACTATCCTTTCACCATTATATCCTTCTCACATAGAAGCCTGCCTCTCACATAGTAGGGGCTCTCTATACACTCACTGAATGAGTGAGTGAATGAATGCATGATATGACTCTTTCTTGATATATTCTTAAAAATAGGCTGGTAGCATCATACCAAGAAAATAACAGCAATCTTTAAAAGAGGTGTTCTGTGGACAGCAAAGATGTGATCACACACACACACACGAATATTATACAACCATAAAAAAGGATGAGATCCTGCATTTGTTACAACATGGATGCTAAGTGTAGTAAGTTAAACTGGGAGAGACAAATACCATATGATTTCACTCATGTGGAATCTAAAAAACAAAACAAATGAATACACAAACCAAAAGTAGAATAAGACCTCTAAATACAGAGAACTGATGTTTGCCAGGGGGGAGCTGGGGGGATGGGCAAAATGGGTGAAGGAGAGTGGGAGATATAGGCTTCCAGTTATGGAATGAATATGTCACAGGAATAAAAGTCATAGCATAAGGAATATAGTCAAGGATATTGTAATAATGTTATATGGTGACAGATGGTAGTTACAGTTGTGGTGAACATAGCATAATGTATAAACTTATTGAATCACTATGTTGTACATCTAAAACTAATGTAATTTTATGTGTCAACTATACTCAAATTAAAAAAAAATTAAAGAGGCATTCTAATAAAAACCCAGCTTTGAGAACCAGATTTAATTCCAGAGAAAATTTCAGAATGGTGATTCTTAACCATTTTTAAATATGCATCTTGTTGAGAAGTTGGTGAGAGCAAGGTACCAACTGCCAGGAAGAGACACATATATACAAAATTACGCCTATAATATCAGAGGGTTAACAAATTCTCTGAAATTTATTCAAAGCTCCCATATTAAGTCCTGATGTAGCTAAATGAACAGAGTTCACACTCCTCCATCAATCCTCCATAAGTATAGCTCCTATGAATCGAGCCATTGATAGACACCGAATTGTGAGGAGTTTGAGATAATATTGCCTAACATTCCCCCTGGAATGTAGTCATTCTATGTTGACAGTTAAAACACTTAAGTGTTTTATTTGAAATCTCCATAAAGTATACAAAGATTCATCCACAGTCTGATCTAAATGATCCCTCCATAATACCTGGATGTGCAGTCAGTAATTCAAATTTCATCTTTTTCTATAATTTTTTTAATGTTTATTTTTGAGAGAGAGAGAGAGAAATAGAGACAGTGCGAGTGGGGGAGGGGCAGAGAGAGAGAAGAAGACAGAATCTGAAGCAGGCTCCAGGCTCTGAGCTGTCAGCAAAAAGCCTGATGCAGAGCTACAATTCATGAAGCACAAGATCATGACCTGAGCCAAAGTTGTACACTTAACTGACTCATAATACAACAGAGTAAGCATATTATATCACTAACTCTTCAGCTATTACTATCATGGAAAATTCTTTGTGTATTTTTATGTATAAAATTCTACTTAAATATAAAGCAGAATAGTCTCAATTAATGTTTGAATGAGTGGGAAGAAAAAGAAATTATTTACAACTTGCTCTAATGATCTCACCAAGTCTCTAGTTTGTAGAAAAGTTTATGAGTAAGAAAAGCAATTCTGACAATTCTGTTGTCTTGATGAGTAAACTCAATGAGTTCCATCTGCCACTAATTCTTGCTTTTATTTTCTGCTAGAGAGGCACCCATCTTTCACTTAAAAAACAACATTTAAGTATTTTGTTTAAATATAAATGAAAAACACTATTTCTTCAAGTGTCAAATAAATATAGCTTGGTCTAGCTCTACTAACCTTGTTATCTTAGTTCTGTTTACTTTTATTTCTTCACTTAGGACAGAAATTGGTCATGTTATTCCTTCCCATTATGTAGTTGTCAAAGACTTAAATTTTTCTTTAATTTTTATTTATTTATTTGTTCTTATTTTAGAGGGAGAAAGAGAGTATGTGCATGGGGGTAGAGGAACAGAGGGGAAGAGAGAGATAGAATCCCAAGCAGGCTCCACACTTAGCATGGAGCTCGATGTGGGGCCCGATCCCACAACCCTAGGATCATGACCTGAGCCAAAACCAAGAGTGAGTCACTGAACCA